TTAGAGTAATGGTGCTGGGAGAGGTTGGAGTGGTGGCAAGACTCATCCCTATCCCAAACTTACCCCCTCCCCACTCCTCCAATAGTGGATAGTAGAACGAACTAAAGAAACCATCCACATATCCACCTACCCAACCCATCCACCTTCTTTCCCTCTCTTCGTTAAAAAAAAGGGCAGTTTCTAACCCGATTTACCCGTGAATGGCTTAGCAGGAGTCTCGAGAGTGTTGTGACCTGAAAGTTGTTTATATGACGGTGTAAAAAAAAAGCCTGTTCATTATATTCCGTCAAGGATGTGTTCTGAGGGTGAGTTATGGAGGGGGAGAGGGAGGTGGGGGTGAGGGGTTAGGTGGGGTGAGGGGTTAGGTGGGGGGTGAGGGAGGGGGTTAGGGGTTGGGTGGGGGTGAGGGGTTAGGTGGGGGTGGGGGTTAGGTGGGGGTGAGGGGGTTAGGTGGGGTGAGGGGGTTAGGTGGGGGTGAGGGGTTGGTGGGGGGGTGAGGGGTTGGGTGAGGGGGGTTGAGGCCACTCTAGAACCTCTCCCCCATCTTCCCTCTACCTCCTCCTTACCTCCATTCGTCCCCCCAAAGCCTCCTTGGTAATGTAACTCAAGTGGGGGAGGGAAGGGGAGGGAGGGAGGAGGGTAGTTTATGGTCTTTGTTTAAATTGTGATGAATTAGGTGGGTTAGTTAATGTTGATGATCTGTGAGTGTGTGTGTGTGTGTGTGTGTGTGTGTGTGTGTGTGTGTGTGTGTGTGTGTGTGTGTGTGCGTGTGTGCGTGTAATTCGGTTGGATTTTTATGCTCGGTAAGGTGGTAAATTTAATGCCAGATAGATAGATATATAGATAGATAGATAGATAGATAGATAGATAGATAGATAGAATGAACACCCATCAATAACAACCACACCCACACACACCCTTCAACCAAACACCTCAGCAATCAACCACATCACATCCAAGATCACACACACACCCAACTAATCCCCACCAAACAACCACCATCGCGATCAACCAATAACCACAATCACACGCCATCTACCACCACCACCACTTATAGACTTCAGTGTGTAGGTAATATGATAATAGTGTATCAGGCTGGGGGCCGAGTGACGACGTGGGCTGATCCAAATACCCTCCCTCACTCACCTCTCTCCCTCACCTCTCTCCCTCACTCACCTCTCTCCCTCACCTCCCTCCCTCACCACCCCCTCATCTCCCTCCCTCACCACCCCCCACCCCCCCAAACACCAACTCCTGCGTCGGTATTTCCTTCTTCCCTGTGTAGAAGTATGGAAGTGGGGCGGATGATGATGATGATGGTGACAGTAATAGGAAGTGAAGACAAGGAGGAGGAGGAGGAAGGGGAGGTTGGTGCCAGGGTATAATAAGGAGTGTGGGGTGCTGGCTGGCTGGCTGGCTGGCTGGCTGGCTGGCCTTGCCGGATCCAATTGTTATCGTCTTCATCAGGTGTAGTTGATGAGGAGTCTTTGAAATTTCCTCCATCAGTTGGTACGAAAGATGCCTTCAAGACGTCTTCAAGGAGAGGTGTAGAGAGTGACCGGAGGAGAAGGAGAAGAGGAGAGGAGGAGGAGGAGGAGCAAGACGTGGAGAGGAGAGGAGGTTCTGTTCCGAGTACTTCCCCTATAGTAGCGAGGGTACACAAGGTAGAAATTAGCGTCAAACAACCTAGTTCGACAGCAGTTTGTGGGTGAGTGGCGGGTGTGTGTGTGTGTGTGTGTATGTCCCGCTACCCAGCTGACGCCCGGGAGCTGCCTGGTCGCCCTGCCCACCACCACCCACCTATACCCACCACTACCAGCAAGCTCTGCCTGCCCTGCCCTGTCCTGCCCTGCCCTGCTCTGCCCTGCCCTATCTTGCCCTTTCTCTACCCTACTCAGCCTTCCTCTGACATGCCCTGCCTTACCCTAACCTACCCTGTGCCCAACCATTAGCATCTTGGAGACCATAACACTGATCAGAAAGCATAGGAGACACACTCATACTCCCGCCTGTGTCTCCGGTAGGAGGCTGGGTGTCGTGGTTGTGGTGAGGGGGGTGTGGTGAGGGCGTGTGTGATGAGGGTGAGTGTGGTGAGGACGAGGGTGGTGCGGGCGAATGTACTTACACTGCATATGTGAACTGATTGTGTCAGTGGGTGGCGCTGCTTGTGACGCTTGACAAGACCCCCACCTGGCTCTCTGTGCATGTGGTGATGAGGGCGGGGGTAATGTTCTGGTGGCAGGGGTGTTATTGCTTTGGTGGTGGAGGTGGGTGTTGTTGTTGTTATTGGTGGTGGTGGTCATGCAGGTTGGTGGAAATGGTGGTGATGTAGGTGATGGTATAGATGGTGGCGGTTGTAGTGGTGGGGGTAGTGGTGGAGGTGTACCCATGGCAGGGTTAGTGGCTGGAGGCCGCCGACCAGCTGGTAGGCAGAGGCTTCACACCTCTCATCACCTCAACCACGAGTTTTTTATATAAACTTTTCCTCTTCCTCAAAATTCACTCTCTTCCTCGCCCCGACCCACAGCCTCGCCCCCGCCAGTGTTGACAATCTGATACAGGAGAATCATCCATCTTTATATTAAGGTGATGAGGAAAAACAGTAAACCATCACGGGGGTGAAGCTGTCGTTGCTACACGTCATTATGCTCCGTCAAGGACTCTCCCGCTGGCGCCGACGACAGCGACCCGAGCTAAGGAACCCACAAGACCCAATAAAACACAGCATTAACTTGAGTTTTCGTTATTTGAGGGATACTACGACTCTCCCAGGACAACTGGTCATCGTCCTCTTCCCGCTAGTGTTCGGTCGCGGGCTTCACTCCCTCTATGACCCTGAACGAATTCGACAGAGACCAGGCTGCTCGTTGTGAGAAAGGATAGCATATGCCAAGCGTCAGCGTGCGGAACAGAAAACGCCAGTTGGCTGATAGTGAATAGGAAGGAACATTATTGTTGATTCTAGATTACCCTCATTACAGGGCTGCAGCAGCACAAGCCAGGGAGCAGCGGAATGAGGAAAGGAACACAAGAGTGTAGCAGCAACACCACGGCTGTGCTCCGCTACCTCAAGGGAGGACAATCTATCACGCCACCTCAACCACACCATGACAACTGCATTCATAAGTTCCTCAAAACACTTAAATAATAACTCAATTAATCTCGAAGCTCATCAGGATGTTGGTTAGTGATGGCTGGTGGTGGTGGACAGTACTATACAATACACCTCCCGCCGTCACGTGACGCGGGAGTTTGTGTTCCGGGGGGAAATTTCGGCCCCATTAGACTCCTCATGAGGGTCGAGGTTGTGGTCGGGACGTGACTCACCAGATCTTCCCCGCCACCGAGAGGAGGACCCCAACGTACCTTGTTGTCCCGGCCGCCACACACGGCAAAGCGGTTCTGTTTACACCCTCTTATAAGAGTCAGTTTCGCCTCCCCCCTCGCTGTAGTGGAGCACTTTATAGCTGGAGTGTCGCGAATTTTGTTACAATTTTTGTTTTAAAGTTCACGCCAGGTGCCCCCAAAACTTCCTTAACCTAGATGTTTACTTGTTTAACCGAGCCACCACTCACTCCCTTATGGTAAATAAATCCCATAAACAAGGAATACCAACCTATGTAAATGTCACTATCACACTCAAAACATTTTTCTTCACCGTTTAAATCAACAGAGGGAGTGTGACCACGATCACTGGGTGGAGCAGCGGCAGCTATGCACGATCACCGCCATGGATTCCAGGGTTCGAATCTATCCCACACCACGGACTAAGAATAAGCTTCCCGGTGACACTGATCAACCAGACTGTTGCTTCCTGCCGCCACCAGCCCACCATAACCACAACAATCTGCTTCAGCACACCAACTTTTACTGAAGGATGTACGGTATATAAAGTCCTTCCATTACTTCTATTACTCACAACAGGATGTTTTTATAGTTGGGATAATTCACAGATAAACCTTCTAACCTAACCTAACCTAACCTAACCTCACTTCACCCCACCCAACCTCCCAGCGGTGTTTCTTAGATGTCATAAACATTGAACTGAACCATCTTAGGCCTCAGGTATAAACACCATGACTTCCCCCTTACCTGTGTCGCGTCTACTACCCCTCCCCCTTACCTCACCTGCCACTCCAGATAGTCATTATCCTTCTGTGTGAAGATTACGGACAAGGCCCTTATATATTTTCCACAGGTAAATATGATATACGGTAATAAATGACGTGGGACAGCCGTGGGTGGGCGTGGGGAACTTTGGGTGGGCGTGGGGTAGCTGTGGAAGGGTGTGGGCCAGCCAAGGATGGGTGTGGGCCAGCCAAGAATGGGCGTGGGGCAGTTGTGGATGGACATGGGGCAGTTGTGGTTAGCCGTAGGGCAGTCGTGGGTGGGCGTGGGGTAGCCGTAGGTGAGCGTGGGGCCCCCAGGGTGGGCACGGGCGCGGGCCAGCTGGCAGCGGTAGTGTTTACGGGTATAATTTCACCGTACATTAAGGTTATATCATTAGCGGGGCACGTGTCTCCCCACATCCTGGACCACGACCACGGTCCACCTTCTGGTCCATCCAGTACTCTTCCTGATACTTCCTCCTGTCTTTACTCGATCAATTCCTGGTCCATAACCTGCCGGTTCATGTACCAGTTTATCACACACACACACACACACACACACACACACACACACACACACACACACACACACACAGACACACACACACACACACACACACACACACACACACACACAATTAGCCAAGACACAAGTCATTTTTACGACACCACTCGACGCGACAGTCGGGCATCGGGTGGAGACGGTGTGACCAGATGTTGTTCACCGCTCGTGTACCATGAGTGAGTGTGTGTGTGTGTGTGTGTAAAAATAGTACCCGGATTCGACTTTTATGAATACAGTTCAGGATCGAATCCAACTACGGCTCTGGGTTCGAATCCGGATCTAAAATTTAGCCCCCACCCACAAACAGGTCAACATGTCCACAGTACCTTTGGTAATGTTGTGTTTCTCTCTCTCCTTCTCCCAGGACGCGAAAGACGCCCTGAGAGCATCGGTCATCTTCTTGGTCGTACCGGGGGTTAGCGGAGGTACTGGCGCCGGCAGATCTGTAAACACGAGAAAGAGAAAACCAAGGTCAACACGGGTCATTAAGATAGGGTCATTGTTATGGTGGGTCTTATTATATACGTAGGATTAGGTCAACACGGGTTACTAAGATGAGGTCATGTTTGGAAGAAGAAGAACAACATCAACAACAACAACAACAAAAACAACAACAACAACAACAACACAAACAAGATTAATGATAACAACAACAATAACAACAACACTAATAATAGAATCCTTAATAACAGACACACGGGGGTAGGACTCCAGCTCACGGGGGTAGGACTCCAGCTCACGGGGGTAGGACTCCAGCTCACCCACACACAATCTATTTATACAACAAGAAAAACAAACATTTCAAAAAACTCCTGAAAACACGTCCTTTACAAGTACAGTTTCTGAAGATAACATGAACTATAAAGCACTACCCATGAAGGCGTCCTCTTTAAAGGCACATAACCTTGAGCATACGTAACGAGTGCCACTATCTTCCCCTCCTCTTGGTTCAGTAGCCCGAGTTGATACACCCCTTAGTCCACCCAGCTGTGAGTGGGTACCTAAGTATGCAGTTGAGAATATGGTGGTGGTAGAGTGCAGTGCCATTACACAAACACACACACACACACAAGTAACATAACCTAAGCACAACACACAATTTGATCCTTCGTCTTCACACGAGCCAAAACCGTTAGAGCCATCCTCACCCCCCCCCCCTGTGTCCCCTCACCCACATGGGGAAGGGGGGAGGGGGGGAGAAAGGATAGGGAAGGAGGGAGGGAGGGGTGACGGACATGTGTTGGAGAGTGAGGGGAGGGGGGAGCTGCACATCTGATACCGGACATGGGCGTGTCTTCGGCAACCCGTCAAGATACGTGTATTGATGTGATGATTTATACGATGAATTGTTGACACAGAAATCGGCTGTAGTGATGTAATGTTAAAAAATAAAAATAAAAATTGTCTGTGGTAATTAATATACAGTAAAATATCATCGTTTACCCATGATGCTTCACCATAAACGACAACTTGACGATATTCCGACGATATGTAAACAAACTTTACCCAAGAGACTGAGCAACACCATGAGGCGGAAATAGCACAAGCACTGAGAACAGACGAGGAAACGGAAGTATAGAGTTAGGTGGCCTCTCCAGGGAACAACGGTCGCACATTAAAAGAAGGGGAAACAGAGGCGAGGGGAAACTGAGACGAGGGGAAAACAAAAGAAGACGTGCATGTAACTCGGCCTTCTCGTTCAACCTGCGACAGTCTTCCTCTCGGAGTGCACGACCGTCCGGAACTGTTGGCTTCCGTTGGCAGTCGGCATCCACTCAGTACCTTGATTAGATACCCAGTACTTTGATTAGATACCCAGTACTTTGATTAGATACCCAGATACCTTGATTAGATACCCATTGTTGAGTCATTGTACTTAAAGGATTAAATCATACTCAAGGTGTTAAATCATCGTACTCATAGGATTAAATCATTGTACGTACTGGAACGTTTAAGTCAATGTACTCAGGCCGTTAAGTCATCGCACTCAAATGGTTACGTCATCGTGCTCAAAGGGTTAAGATACCCTTATTATCAATGGGGTAATTCATCGTAATCCCGAGAGAGTTAAGAATCAGACCGGAAGTGCAATTCACAAAAGATATCTTCCTCCAATTTTTACGTAGCCTTCACACACACACACACATCAGGACGTCTTGTAGTCATCCTGGTAAAAATCGTCCTTCCTACACACAGGGAGAGGGTAAGATAGATGTAGGGATAGTTACATGGTGTAGTGGTAGTGAATAGGTGGATTGGGATGTAGGTGGATGGGTGTAAGCATGGTGGGTGTGTGAGGGTGTATGTGTATGGATGGTATGGATGGGTGGGCGTGTGTGGGTGGTATGGATGTGTGGATGGGTAGGTGTGTGGTGTGGATAGAGGAGGAACATCACTAGGCCACAAATGGTTCGGGATTTCAAAACTGCGGCAAAAACTTAGGGCTGAGGGAAACGGGTTATCGGGGGTGTAATCTGAGCTGGGCCGATATCACGAGAGAGCCAGGGCCGCAGTGCCACTCAGGAAGGCCACAATTCCACTCAGGAGGGCCACAGTGCCACTCGAAAGGGCCACGGCGCCACTCAGAAGGGGCGCAATTCCACTCAGGAGGGCCACAGTGCCACTCGACAAAGGGGCCGCAATTTCAATCAGGAGGGCCACAGTGCTAACCAGATAGACAGAGAAGGATTACTAAACAGAAAGACAGACAGACAGACAGACTTCAAACAGATTGTCATCAATATAGGTGATTGCTTGATCTTCCGACGGGGTGAGGGGAAAGTACGGGGCAATGCGGGACAGAGCGAGGCGGGGCAGAGCGGGGCGAGGCGGGGCAGGGCGGGGCATTGGATTGGGCGGGTCGGGGTACGAAATGGACGTGGTAGGAGTAGGAATGAGGTATAGGGCGAGGGTAGCCGAGGTGGATGGGGCACGGGGCGGGCGGGGGCGGCCGGATGAGGTGGCGCGCGCCGACACCCGACACCCAGCACATGCCCTCTCACACATGGTGCCTCCACCCACTCTTTATGACTCTCCCCACCCACTCCCACCACCCACTCCCACCACCCACTCTCACTCCCATCTTACTTTCACTTTGACTCTCACACTTACTCACTGTTCCTCCCTCTCATCCACCCTCCCTCACTCTCATCCACCCTTCCTCACTCCCATCCACCTTCCCTCACTGTCACCCACCTTCCCTCACTCTCACCCACCTTCCCTCACTCTCACCCACCTTCCCTCACTCTCACCCACCTTCCCTCACTCTCATCCACCCTCCCTCACTCTCATCCACCTTCCCTCACTCTCATCCACCTTCCCTCACTGTCACCCATCTTCTTTAATCACCCTCTGTCATCCACCTTGTTTATTTCCTTACACTATGGCGTTCCTGTAGTTAAATACAATATAACCAATGAAAAAATACAACTAATAATACATAATTAATTTGGTTAATTAGAAAAATAAATTATACTGTAACAAAAATGAATTTGTGTAAATATGATTATCTTAAAAAAAATCCGATTCGCTATAAAAAAATGAAGTCAATGTTATCTACTTCCGGTATAAATAATGATAACAATACGCCATAACAGAAAAGTCTAGTGTCATTGTAAAATAACCCATGGATGGATGGATGGATGGTTGGGTGGATGGAAGGGTGGGGTGGATGGTTGGGTGGGGTGGATGGTTGGTTGGTTGGATGGATGGATGGATGGATGGATGGTTGGATGGAGATGGATGGTTGGGGGATGGGTGATGGTTGGGGGTGGATGGTTGGATGGATGGTTGGGTGGGATGGGTGGATTGATGGATGGATGGTTGGGTGGGGTGGATGGATGGATGGATGGATGGATGGGTGGATGGATGGTTGGGTGGATGGATGGATGGATGGTACTCCAGGTCCCCTACCAATCCTATCCAGCAAAAGACGAGACAAAAAATTAATAATCACAGCGCCATCGAAGGACCCAATAACCATAGAGTGTGGACACCCTTCCTTCCTTCCTTCCTTCCTTCCTTCCTTCCTTCCTTCCTTCAGGTAAAGCCAACAGGTCTCCGGGGGCCAGGGTATAAACAACACATCCGGCCAGTAGGTCCAAGCAACAGGTCAGGCCAACAGATCCGAAACAACAGATGTGGTCAACAGGTCCAAAGCAGCAGGTCCTAACAGGAGGTAAATATAACCTGTTGCCGTCCACCTCCACCGCTACCACGTGCACGCCAGACCCACCTAACACGTGATGGAGGCGCGTGGGAACCTCTGCCTCCTCTCCTCCCTCACTCCAGCTGAGGGAGGGAGGGAGGGAGGGAGTCACGCTCTGTAGACTGTCTCAAGATATAGTGTCCTACAGGAGACATTAAAATGTCACCCTAAGAAGACGCTAAGTTCGACCTCCAAGGCTAAGGTCGACCTCTAACGCTAAGGTCGACCTCCAAGGCTAAGGTCGACCTCTAACGCTAAGGTCGACCTCCAACGCTAAGGTCGACCTCAAAGGCTAAAATCGACCTCCAACGCTAAAGTCGACCTCCAACGCTAAGGTCGACCTCCAGCGCTAGAGTCACACACTTGAGGGGTCGACCTCCAACATGTGTCTCCTGGTATGAGAAACACCACAACTTACCTCCTTGTTGACACCCTGAGAGATAGATATTGAGTCATTATTTTTAACCCTCAAATGTTTTCCTTAAATGACAAAGATAAAAAAAATAAGTTGTCATTATAATTTACTCCATAACACTGACGTAAAGGCGTTAGGTTAGGTTAGGTTAGGTTAGGTTGGGTTAGGTTAGGTTGGGTTAGGTTAGGTTAGGTTAGGTTGGGTTGGGTTAGGTTAGGTTAGGTTAGGTTGGTGCTGTTTTTGACGTTCTAGTAAGAGATGGTGACGTCACAACTTCCAAGGCAGTTTTAAAATCGTAAAATAATAAAAATGTAAAGAAAATGAAAATAAGAAAAATGTTAGAAATTAATAAAAATGTATTGAAATAGAAAGAGAATTAAAATTGGTGGAAATATAATAAAACAAAACACACACACACACACACTCACACACACACACACACACACACACACACACACACACACACACACACACACACACACACACACACACACACACACACACACACACACACACACACACACACACACACACACACACACACACACACACACACACACACACACACACACACACACACACACACACACACACACACACACACACACACACACACCACACACACACACTAAGATCACCGTCGACAGCCCACATCTTCGAAACCAAACTAAACCGCGGACATAATGCGGTCAGGAATCACTTAGACGGGTGAAGGAGAGGGGTGAAGGAGAGGGGTAAAGGAGAGGGGGTGAAGGAGAGGGGGTTGAAGGAAGAGAATAGCTACGGAAAGGAGACAGCTGCCTGGGAACCGGGGACACATG